GCTGACACATGGCACCGGATACTTCTGATACCCGTCCTAGGTGGAGTCATTGTTGGCATGCTGCATGGTCTACTTGGGATCTTGGATCAGATAAAACAGTCATCCACTCCTTCTTCTTCTCAAGGGCAGGGCTTTGATCTGTTTGCTGGGATCTTCCCCACGGTGAAGGCTATACAGGCTGCAATAACTTTGGGTACTGGATGCTCTTTAGGTCCTGAGGGCCCAAGTGTAGATATTGGGAAATCATGTGCTCATGCATGCTCTGTGATGATGGAAAACAACCGGGAAAGGAGAATCGCTCTTGTTGCTGCTGGTGCAGCTGCCGGAATTGCTTCAGGTGTGGAATTTTTATCAACACCATCTCTTTTTTTGCGGGCAGGTTTCTCTATCTCATGTAACCTTTAGAATCCCAGGGTCAAATCTTTTGTTGGTTTAGCTTTTAAGAGCCCATATGGTAAGGCCTAAAATGTACGAATTTGTTGGAGTTGTTTCTAAATTTGTTGAATCTGTTGTATAATTAAAAAAAATCATTTAAAACATGTCTCATATAAAAACACAAAGGTTGAAACGTCATTTTCATCACAAAAAAGGTACATCATGCACTACTTTTTTTCATTAAAATTACTTATTCAACTAGCGGGATTGTTTAGTGAAATTTTGTATGATAAGCCTACAACAAGAACAACATCAACCCAGTATAATCCCAATTCCGTTGAGATCTGGAGGTCAAGATGTAAGCAATCATACCTCTGTTAAAGCAGAGATGCTGCATATGTAAGACCCTAGATGCATTGTTGTATTTACTGCCCAAAACTTCACAGAAAGGAAGAAACAAGGGATGTTTAATGTGTCATTTTGATGTTGGATGATAAGGCTGTTGAGCCCAAATAAGGGGTTACCAAATGGGGTCTAAGTATGGATAATTTGGAGACGGCTTCCTGTTTGGGTAGTAGAGTGTGTTCCTACATGTTCGGTGCCATTTGATGAAGGCTGTGAGATGTAAGTTCAGATTTTTTGCATGCCATTGATGTCTCGTTGTGGTGCAGGTTTTAATGCAGCAGTTGCGGGTTGTTTCTTTGCAATTGAAACTGTCCTAAGGCCACTCCGAGCAGAGAACTCTCCTCCCTTTACCACCGCAATGATTATATTGGCTTCAGTAATTTCATCAACTGTATCAAATGCTGTTCTGGGAGAGAAACAGGCATTCACTGTCCCCACATATGATTTGAAATCTGCTGCTGGTATTTTGATGTTTATATATTTGTAATTGTCAATGGTTTTGTAGTATTTGGTTATTAAATAGTGTGTGCCTTCATCATTAGTTTATATGACGCCACCCCCCAACCTACTGAAAAAAAACAGACAGACATTACACTTAGGGTATGTTTGGATAACTGAAAAGACCAGGGAAAAGAAAAAAGATAGGAAAGTTATTTTCTTGTGTTCGGGCTTGCCTTGGAAAGTGGAAAGGAAAATAAATATGACTAATGTTTCTTAAAGTTTTACATATGTTTAGACTTCTAATATTTCATATACAACAACAACAAACCAAATATAATTTGAACTATGTTGGGGTTTGGGAATCGAGATGCATTTTATGGGTTCCAAATGGCCCCTTAGGTTGTCCTGAAGTTGTATTGAATTTATTTAACATCACTTCAAATCTTACCAAAAGAAATTACAATCACAACAAGAAACAATGGTGCTTATTTGTGGGGTTGTTCATGCATCCTTCACATTGTTATGTATGAATCTCTACTTGACTTCATGAGCTTTGTTTTGTTTCTTGCAGAATTTCCTTTGTATCTAATACTGGGAATGCTATGTGGAGTAGTAAGCGTGGCATTCAGTTATTTGGTCAAGTGGTTCAGCAATGCTTTTCAGTTCATCAAAGAGAATTTTGGAGTTCCTGACGTTGTATGTCCTGCTTTGGGAGGTTTGGGAGCCGGAATAATAGCTCTTAAATACCCCGGAGTACTCTATTGGGGCTTCACCAACGTAGATGAGATTCTTCATACTGGAAAGACAGCTTCGGCACCTGGGATCTGGTTACTGTTTCAATTGTCTGCTGCAAAAGTTGTGGCTACTGCTTTGTGCAAAGGTTCTGGTCTTGTTGGGGGTCTGTATGCACCTAGTTTGATGATAGGTGCTGCTGTTGGTGCAGTCTTTGGAGGCGTATCAGGGGAGCTGATCAATTCTGCTATTCCTGGCAATTCTGCTATTGCCCAGCCTCAAGCATATGCACTGGTAATGCAAACTTCTCCTCACATGGTTATTACAAGTCATTAATCTTGTCTGATCAAAACTCCTTCCAGCTCTTCCTAGGTCTACCTCTAACACATTAAGAAATGCATTGGAGTGATAAATTAATTTAAAATTAGTTTTTGCCCAAAATGCCCTTATTTAATGCTGATATCAGCGTAAGAAGGGTGATATTTGATATCAAGCATTTAATGCGCATAGATTTCATAAACAGCAAGATCAAAAGGAACAAACAAATTTGGAAGGAGTGTTATTTTCGTAGCAGATATTGTGGAACAGATAATCACTTCATAATGAATGCAGGTTGGAATGGCTGCTACACTAGCTTCGGTTTGTTCGGTGCCTTTAACTTCAGTTCTACTTTTGTTTGAACTGACAAAAGACTACAGAATCTTGCTTCCTCTCATGGTTAGTGTAAAATGGTCCAAACCACCTTCAATGTTTTTGGGCTAAACTCTCACCCCATGTTTATTGATCTGACCTTTTTTTTTTACTTTTGATGACAGGGAGCCGTTGGATTGGCAATATGGGTTCCTTCAGTGACGAACCAGCCAAAGGTCATGGAAGTATCCGGCACAAATAATTTGTTAAGAGATTATTCTTTTCTCTCTCCGGATGATGACAAATATATTGGAAGTATCCGGGGCAATACTGGAGATAGGAGTGAGTTGGAACTTTCCATTATTGGCAATTCATACGATCTTGAAACAATCGACGACGATCTGATTCTGGACAATCTGAAGGTGTAGCTTTTTTTTACCTCTAAATCCTCGTGCTTTTGAAGAGCAAGTAAATGTTGTCTTGCTCACAGAGTTCTCTTTGTGTACCATATCTATCAGGTTTCTCAGGCGATGTCTAATGACTATTTGAAGCTGTCATCAACCCACACAGTGAAGGAAGCTTTGGATTGCATGAACGAAAGCCAGGAGCGTTGTGGCATTGTGGTTGACAATGAAGATCATCTCGAAGGAATTTTAACATATGGTGACATAAAACGGAGTTTATTGAAGAACTCTGGTGATTTGCTGCATACAGATGTATGTATTCTTTTGTATAGCAGTAATTAAGGGTTGGCTTGGAACACAAAAAATACGTTTAAATACTAAGGGCTCATTTGACTTCAGAACTTGCTGATCCTTGAGAAATGCAAGTCTTTTTTAAAAAAACAAAAAAAAAAAGAATCCCATTTCATTTTCCAAGGTAAAGCCACACAATAAAAATAACTTTATTTAACGATTCCTTTTCCTTTCCCTAGCATTGTTCTACTTCAAAACAGAGCCTAAAAGTTTTAGTTTTTCTTTGTTGGTCAAGTTCTATCTGGGAGTCTCTTTGAAACAGCCTCACTACTTCCAAGTAGGGGCAGGGGCACGGTTTTCCTACGCACACCCTCCCCAGACCCTACTCTTGTGAGATTTTACTAGGTGTGTTGTTGTCGTTGTTGGTTAAGTTCTCTTCGCTGCATTTTGCAGGCAAATACGTCGCTTGTTTCCTCCATTTGCACAAGAGGGATAAGCTACCGAGGACAAGAATGTGGTCTTCTAACTTGTTATCCAGATACAGATCTTGCAATCGCAAAGCAACTAATGGTGGCTAAAGGAATCAAACAGTTGCCAGTTATCAAGCATACAAGAGACATTATTCAAACAGAGAGAAAACACAAAGTAATCGCCATCTTGCAATATGATTTCATTGAGGAGTCCATAAGGTGTTTATTGCATTTTTTTTTTGCGTTATTTAATCTCTTGTTTTATGCTTCTTTTTCCTCTTAAAAATCTGAGCTTTAATCTTTTTGCAGAAGAGAGGTCAACCGCTTGAAATCAATCTGTCAGCAGATAAGAGAAGAGGATTCAGATCCCACGGATGCAAATGGCCACTGACAACAGTATAGGAAAACAAACTTCAAGAATTGGTTCTCTTTTGTTGAACTTCACAATCAGTTCTTATAGATAATGTTATAGGAGTCATGTTACAATAATCCTAAGTTTGACACCACGAGTGACAACTCTCTATGAATTTGTCTAATTCCGTATTGTGTTTGTGAACAAATTTACTGACGGCTGTCATCAGTGGTGTCAAACTTTGGATTATAGTAGAGCATTATTCATGTTATACCCCTCACTGTGCTCATATAGTTCTTGCCCTAGGCTCTGGCCCCTTTTGCTGTGGAAAAAAATTGGGGAAGGAAAAGTACATTTGTATTTTCTGTATATGCAATTTATTTTAGCAATGGCAAATTACAGTTAGTTGAACTATTGGTGAATTCACTTTTGTTTTCTTCTGTTACAGTTTTTTTATAGGGGTAAGGTCTACGTACTCCATCCTTTCGGATCACATCATAACTTTAAAAAAATTAATGTAAGATTCGCAACGTTAAAATCGGATATCGCTCTGGATTTGGGGAAGACCGCCCAAACTTGAAAGTACTTCAGCAAGTTTTCCTTTAAATAATTTTTGATCTAAACATATTTATCATTTTATGCTATTTCTAGGTGATAATTCATTCAAATGTTTATATTTCCAGAACATTAGACATGAAAACTCCATTCGTCTTAAATCAGTTAAATGTTCTCATTTATAGTCTTTAACCGTCCAATATTGGTGCGTTCCATGTTGTTTCTCTTCCCAATCCAAATGCCAGAATTTGACCAAATTTTCAAAATTTTCCACTATAGGTATCCATAGAAGTTGTGCATCAAAAGAATAACAAAGAATAAACTATGGAATGCACCAAGAAATATAATCCAATCTAACATTTCTTCTTCTTCTTCTTCTTCAAAACCCCATAATGGCAATAGAATTTAAGTTTTCACATCTGAGGTCCAAGAGGCAACCTACTGGTGGTGAACTGCTGATAGGGTGAAGAGTCATTAGAAGAGAGATTCAAACCGGGTTCCGAACCGGGCTCCATTTTTGGTTCTGCCTTGACCATCAGCAGCCCATTCATCGGTGGGCCCGGTTGGTGCTGTCCTAGGTACGGATGATGAGCTGGAAACATGCCCGCAATGCCTTGCTGGCTCATCATCCCGAAACCGAATCCGAGGTGGGGCCCGCCATGGAAACCGAAGGATCCGAGGTGGGGCATGGCGAACTGCTGGTGAGGAGTCTCAGGCCTGTGCACATGAACACTCTGTGATGGCAAAATGCTGGAGGAACCCCCAGGATTGTTGGCATGGCTATGATGATGGTTGTTGCTGTTTCTGGCTGCTGGAACATCATGGTTGTGTTTCCCTTCATAGGTTGTAATAACTGATTTCAGATCGTGCGAAGCCCTCTCCACATGCTTCCTAACAGTGCAGCCAGCGCTCGTGCACTTGTAGTAACTCCTGTGGAAGCAGAGACAAAGAGCGTGTTAGATTTAAGGGTCAAGAAGGTTCTGATACGATGTTAATAATGAACCAACTCAGGCTTGTGATTCAAGGGACACAGAAATCTTTTTATATTCTAGCAGAAACAGTTATGCCCCCACACCTTGGATTTGGATTCCCTTTCACAACCTTTTGTCCATACTTGCGCCAACGGTACCCATCATCTAGAATGTCAACCTCGCTGGTAGTCTGCACCACCACCCTGGGTTCTCTAATGGCTCTTGTCGCCCCTCCGGTCATTTCTGCTGCATAAGTTTCAATCTTCCTAGAAAACATCATCACGAACGTAACATGTCATTGTTTGTAACATTTTTTTTAGCAAATTACATGAAAAAATAGGTTCTTTTGATGAAATATGGCTTTTTTTGGATTGTGTTGTTTTATACACCTTCTCTTTGAGTCGAGCTCATCTCCTTCACCCTCATAACCCAGTGATACGCTGCCATTTGTACCGCGATCGTCTTCATCTTCATCATTTGAAAAAAGGGAAGAACCATCCACAGGATCCCCAGATTCATAATGAGTGCCATTCTGGGCCTGAGGTCCTTCGCCGTGTTCAGACCCCAAAGGTGCAGAAGATGTTACTTCAAGATTCTCACTCTTCCAATCACCATTGTTGTCCTGTTCAGCATTTTCGGATTCAACGGCTGCCCTACGATTGGAGGGAGGCTTCGGGTGAGTGTGGGCCCCCATATAGATAATCTCTGTGATATGACCCTCCTGTGACCGCTCCACCTTCTTCTTGACTGGGCAATTCGAATGTGTGCACTTGTAGTAACTCCGCGGATACTCACTCCCTCTCACCTGTTTCTGCCCATATTTTCTCCAGTTATAGCCATCATCAGCCGGTGCACCAACCGAACTGGGATCTCCAGCATCCTCAGCATTGGGCTCAGAAATGGATTGGCTGTAAAGACTGGCTGGAGGTACCTGTCAAAACCAAAGGCGACTAATGAGTTTCGTCTTTGCAGACTTTGCTTTATGCATGACAATGAACCAAGGGAAGTGATAGAAGACAGGTGAAACTGCTTTGCTAACCGTAACAGGGCAAATGGGAGGAACATTCTCTATAAATGGCTTGAATGCAAATGATGAGGTATCATTGTTGTTGTTGTTATCAGAAGCCACTGCGAATAATGTCGAGTTTTGACTGTCACCCATTGATGGAAATGCAAATTTCCCAGTTGTTGGAGATGATTGGACCTGCATATAACAACCCAATCCTTGATAAATATTTTCTTTTCAAATAAACTGAGTTGAAGACATGTTAAATTAAAACATCATAATTCAATCCAGGAAGATTAACTTACAAGAGAATTAGAGAGGAAAACTGGGGAATCAAGAAGGGTTGATGGACTAAGGCCAGGTGGAATTGCCAAGTGAGACCTGGTTTCTTGGTGGTTTACAGCAAGAGCAGAAGGGCGAATGCTCTCAGTGTTCAGCTTTGGGGCACTGAAACCGGCTCTAGCTGCCATCCTCTCCATTAAACCTCCTCCATGACAGTTGGTTTTTGGCTCAGGCTGTGGACTGATGAATCCAGCTGCAGTTTGATGGCGGGCTGGTGATACACATTCTTCTTCTTCTTCTTCAGCATCAGTTTTATTTTCATTGTCATTAGTCAAAGAGAAAAATGCATTAGAACTTGTTGGGCTGAGCATCCAATAATCTCCCATGAATGGTTGCACGCGATCACCACCAAAATCATCCATTTCAGAAACACTTGAGATCAGCAACTGCAATACAAGACTATCAAGATTGTTTTCCTGCAATAGAGAAAGACGAAAGCTTTTTAAGCCATAATGAAAAAACAATGGAATAAGATTCTTGAGGGCATAATCAATAATGTCTATTGATTTATGGCTAATTTCAAGAAATATTATGATGACATTTTAAAGATTTTGTTTTATTTTAAACAAAAATGTTTAGGACCATTTTGCCTGCACCAGCTAGTTTGTTCTATCAAACTTTGCTTCTAAGATGGAAACTTTTTGTTAAATTGAAGAAGGGCAACAATGTAACACCCAGGTCAAGGATAAAATGAATACAGAAAACCTGAGGATCCACCATTAATATGAATTTCCTTATTTGTCTAACCAAACAAGGAACATTCAAACAAGCAACTTGCTGCATATTACCCAGTAAAAGGCATTCGTGGAACGAATGAAATCACGAATGACCAAATCTCAGTCTATATCACTCTAGAATAGAAGAAAAACAGTCAACAAAAACTTAAAAATCCCAACATCAGCGTGGTTCTCAAAAAATAAAACAGTCATCAGGATCTGAAGAACAACAAGAATCATCAAGAACAGTATAGTTATTAAAAAACAAGATCAAATCATAGTTTGATTTTTCCCACTAGTAATCAGATGGAAAAAAGGTCAAAACTTTTGGATTGGAAGCAAAAAAACAAGTGATTAGGAGAAACGATAAAGAATTCCCAGCACAAAAAATCCAATCATCATACAATGATGATGGTGATTAGGGATTGTGATGGTAAAAAAACAGCACCTGAAATGAAACACTTATGCAGTTGCTTGGAGATTGTTATTTTTCTGAATCCATGAAATGAACCAAATCCTTCCCGTTCTTCTTCTTCTTCCAAGAAACGCCGCAGATTTGGCTGTAAAGGGCAGGAGGAATATATGATTGGGTTTTTGGAGAAACAATAAAGTTGTTGTCTGAACAAATCAAATCGTGGGAATCAAAATAAATGAATGCAGATAGAAATGGGAAAGTGGTGGGGGGGGTTGTTTGATGTGGACCTGCTGAATAAGGGTCTGAAATCTGTTTTGGCTTTCAGTCTGCCTCTGCAAATTTACTCCATTTGGGAGTGTGTGTGTGTGAATGAATAGATTTTGTTGAGCCGGGGAACAATATCAAATTTGACCCACCAATGGGAGGCTACCATGCCGACTATTTATCTTGGACTAACAATAAAGTTGCCCTAAAACCTACTCCCTCTAGTATACTCTCACCCTCCCACCCTCCCAAAATCCTTGCTAGATTATATACTTCCTCCGTCACGCGCTGTATTTGTCCACATTTGACTTTTGAAACTGTTCATCTAAGCACTTTGAATCATCAAATTCTCTCAATGTGTAAGCCTAAATATAATCATGTGTGATCTTGTTTGATTTGTCTTAACATATAGATTATTAATATATAATTTTTATAATTTTTTAATATACAAATTATAAGATAAAATGGATTAAAGAAGTGCATTGGATGGTGTGTAAAAATGGAAGTGGACAAATACAATGGGATGGAGGAAGTACTTCCTACCAACTTTCTTCCTTCATTTTTTTTACTTCCAACAAAACACTTTTATTTTCTATTAAAAAAATTAATTTTACCCTTCTTTTTTCATACCCTATCTATCACATCATACTTTTTCTCTAATACTTAATCCATCACATCTTACTTTTACCTATCACGTCAATGACAAAATTAGAAGTCAACTACTACGTGCAACCATTTAATACTTCCTTATTTTTACACAAAGTCAAAATAGAAACACTTTTATAGAACGGAGGGAGTATATTATTATCTTCCTAAATGATTAACATATTTTATTATTCAAAAATTGTGAGAATTTTTGTTTATTTGTGTGATTTCAATAATTATTTGATAAAATAAAATATTTTTATCACCTCTTACGTGATTTTATTTTTTATTTATATATCAATCTTTACTAAATTAAAAAAACTTGAGATTTTACTTCGTTGTGCATAAAGGGTAATGATATTGGGACGGAGGAAGTAAAAGTTTAAAACAAGTTGAATCTTAATTTTTTTAATTTATTTTTTTTAAATATTGATATAAAAATAAAAAATTAAATTTATTTATTTAAAAATTATGTCAGAATTGCTTTAAAATAGAAGATGACGAGAATATTTTATTTTATTAAATAATCAATGAAAACGTCCAAATAAACAAAAGGGAGAACTTTTTGAATAAGAGTAAAAAAAACTATGAAAACACAAAAATACGAGTCATATCTTTTTTAGGACCAAAATAAGAATTCACACTAAAATTGTTATATTTCTACATTAGCCGCATTATCACACTGCAACTGCTACAATGTCATTCGTTATTGTAGGCCAGCAAAATACCACTGCCGATCATTGACAATTGACTAACCATACGACCATATTACGGAGTAGAGCAATGCTAGGGGTACACCAAAGATGTACCCCAAATGTACATCACCCCTTCTCCACCACCCATTTTTATTTTATTTTTATTTATTCATTTTTTTTGAATTTCTTACTTTTTTTTGTAGACAAGGAGGGGGTTGGGGACAAATGGGGTACATGTACCCCTAGCATTTTTCGGAGTATATTGTCATTACTTTTTAATGACACTTGCTCTCAGCCCATAACACATGAAATACATATAGGCAAAGATAAGAGCAGAAAATGGAGTTCTGGTGCCCAAGTGAAAAATATCAAATCGCTTAACCCGGCGCCTGAGACAACTTGTTCCGCTCAACTCATGACGACAGCCGGAAATTGGTTCGCCGCCGACGAAGGCAATGGCAGAAGCTCGCGCCATTCACTGGAGAGGCTCCCGGACAGCATAATCTGCGAATTTCTGCAAAAGCTGGACTTGGAATCTCTCTGCGCCGCCGCTTGTGTGTCCCGCACCCTCCGCTCGGCCGTCTATCAAGTTCTTGCTTCTCTTTCCTCTCTTGATCTCACTGTAAGCCTTTCCCTCTTTCTTCACAAATTATCTTATGAAGGGGATTTCTTTTTTTCTTTTTTTTTAATCACTGAATATTGATGTGTCACCACATGTTTGATAGAATGCCACACACAATGGTGCACCCTGCACTTCTCTAAAGTCTTGTAACTAAAAAATTTATAAAAAATTCAGCTTGCGTTCATACAAAAATGGGTTGATTCTTTTAAAGAAGAACATGAGCAAGAATGAAATTGACTTTTAACAGGCATTTCCCCTAGACCCCAAGACTCTGCAACTTATTGTAGGCAGATTCGAAGGGGTGAAGAGTGTAGCTGTTGATTGCCTCCGCGTGGTTCATTTTGATTTTATTAATATCTTGGGAGCACAAATCCGGGAACTGAATTTGTTAAAATGCTCTTCGCCATTCCACAACACCCTTAGCACAATTGGTGCGAGGTTCCCAAATTTAAGGCAAGTTCTTTTCCTTCATGCAGTATCTACTTTCAAATTTTTTTGCTCAAAGTTTGATGGAGATAATGTTTCAACTTCCTATTACTTCATTCAATTCATAAAAAAGATCGTATCTTTACTCTTGTTAGTAGACTGAGATTAGTATTGCTTGCTTCTGTTTGTTGAGTCAGGGTTCTTTCAATTGAATTAGCTGGTCAAGGATTACCAGAAGTAATTACCAAACACCTAGCAACAATGCTTAAGGATGTTTCCTACCTCGAGGTAAAACATTGAATATATTCTCTTTGTACTTAATGTTTTCAGTAGTGGAATGCACAGTAATTTGACCAATTTCCTTTTCTTGCAGTCTCTGTCTTTAAAAGTTCACGTAACTGAAGACAATGCATGTATATTTCAATCTGTTCACCTCTTTCTACCAAAAACTCTCAAAAGTTTGAAGTTACAACCAGTGGATCAACAGCATTTTATCCATTCCTTAGTACCTACTGTAACCATTTTTACCAAACATCTATGCTCCTATAGTTCTTTCTTCAATTTGAAGATTTTGTCACTTGTGCTAGATATTATTTCTGATGAACTCGTGTTATCTATTGTAAATTTTCTTCCCTTTTTGGTTGAACTGGGCCTTGAAGATAGACCACACTTGGAGCCACCAATGCATCTTGACCTCACCAATGCCGGGCTTCAGTCTCTCGGTGCTTTGGAACAATTAACAGTCCTCTCAATCATACGGAGCAGAATAAACCTTCCAGTTTATTTCAAAAGAGTTAACGATATGGGGATGCTTATTCTTTTCGAGAACTGCAGAGGCTTGGAATCCTTGAAGCTCGGTGGGTTTTCGAAAGTTACAGATGCTGGTTTCTCAGCAATTTTACATTCGTGCCAGAAGTTGAAAAAACTTGACCTTCGTTATGCACTTCTCTTGTCAGACCTCGCGTTCCACAATGTGAAGGAGGTTGCTAGTTCTCTTGTCAAGTTAAGGTTATTATCATGTAATCTTCTCACTAGTGAAGCTCTAGAAGAACTCTCATCTTTTGGCAAACTGGAGGTTCTTGACCTGTCCGGTTGCAGAAGCATTGCAAACCCTTGCCTTAGCTATGTATCAAGCCTTCGTACACTCACCAGTTTAAGTTTAGCTGGTTCTGATATCACTGATGAGGGGCTGGCTATACTTGGTAGAGGCAGCTCACTGCTCACACATTTATGCGTTAAAGGTTGCAAGAGAATATCTGAAAAGGGAATTCACAAGTTATTTCACGGCGAAGGGAAAATTGGGAATGAATTGTTATGTTTGGATATTAGCTACATGGCCGGGATTTCTGATGCAGCGGTTGAAACAATTACTTCTTCTGCTAAAGCATTGACCGATCTGTGCATGAGGTATTGTTTCTTTGTGACTAATGCAGCCGTGGAAATGTTAGCATCTAAGGGAAAGTTGAATGACGAGAGTACCCCTCTTCGAAAACTTGATCTTTGTAACTGCACCGGTTTATCGGATGATTTAGTTGAAAGTTTTGATGAGGCTTTCTTCCCTGGTTTGCACTGGCTTGGTGTTGGTTTTACTGTCTTGAAGAGTAGAAAAGATCACTTTGATGCTATCTGGGCTTCACGGCCGTGGTTAACTGTGTGTTTTGATGGCTGCGAATTGGGATGCCATGATGGGTGGCAATTTCACGTTTGATGGCCTATGCAGCTTGAGCCGGGGCGGTTTCTTGAAAACAGTCTCTCTACTTTCAAATAAGAGCAAGGTCGGCCCCACACCCCTAGACCCTACTTTCGTGGGTCCCAATTGTGTTGTTGTTGTTTTTGTTGTTGAGCAAAGCATGAAACAAAATGAGATTGTGAAACCTGAAATAGAAGTGCTTGGAGATGTTTGAAATAGGATGATGTCTCAATTACTCCTCGGCAAGCACTTATGAAATCAAATGTAGTGTTATGTACTATTTTGATGTAAATAAATTATGTTGTAAAAAAAATTGAGTCTGAGGATATTATTTCTTTTAGTTTGAGTACATTTTAAATTTTATGAAATAAGTGACAGTGGTGGATCTATTAAGTAGGAATGAGGACATTTGCCCCAATGAGTTTTAGATTTTTTTTTAGTAGTACCCCAATTTTTTAAAAATTTTTAGTTATGCACCCATCAAAAAACAAATAACCCCATAAAAAATTAAAATGAGAAACTTCAATCTAGGGTTGGAGAACCGGACGAAGGATTCATGATAAAAATTAAAAAAAGAGAAAGATATGAAAGATGAGAAAGAAGAGAGAATTATATGAGAATGAGAATATGTTGTGTGTATATTTTTAAATAAATGAGAGGGTATTTATAGTTGAAAATTTAAAAAACATTAAAAAAAATTGTCAACGGCCAAAAAATTGACCGCTAGGGGGGGGGGGGGTAGGGGGCAACGGCTCCTGCGTTACAGCCTCGTTACACGTGGAATGCTATGCGTTTAACGCCCGTATAACACATGAGGGGGGCGGCGTTTGACGCCTAGAAGGCGATAAACGGGGGCTTCATGGGCATTTCCACTACCCTAAGTCATGCTCTTTTGTCAACTCATTTTATGCTAAAATTTCTGAAGATTGAGCTCCATGGTCTATTGTTGGTCTTTGTTGGGACTGTTTTAGGTTAATATCTTCTAAAAGTGAATGATAAAGACGTGGAGAGAGTCTTTGTTTTCTACAAATGGCGACAATAGATTTCTGGTAAATGTTTGATAAAACTCCAAATGTCAAGAAAAAGGAATGCTACAATTAGGAAGTGTTCCCAAATGCAAAATATATAGATACATCAAGGCAGAGTTAGAACAAAAAGGAGGAGTTGCTGGTGCCCAAAGAAAAAAACCCACACACAATCAAGTCCCAACCAGCCAAAAGCTAAGATAAAATGTAAAGAAGATGGAAGTGTTTAAAGACATAAATGTTGCTATGCGATTTCTACAGTGTGTATGCTGCTTCCCCAAGGCACACATTACTTCTCGGCGACTTTGCGCAGTAAAAGACTGGCTTGAAAGTAAGCGCTCAAATAAAAGACGCTCGACCCCCTCTCCTGATGTGTCTATCATATGCAATGTTGAATTTCTCAACCAGCTCGTTCATCGTGCTGCCATCAAGAGAACAAACATTTGTTAGATATATAAATACAACAATAGAGCTAGTAAAATCCATCTAGGCAGTAGGTTCTAAGGGAGGGTGTATGTACGTAGACTTTACTCCTGCTTGGAAGCAAAGTGGTTGTTTCCAAGAGGCCCCCAATTCAACAGAAAAGCACAAATAAAGTAACCACGGCATTGTATTCAAAGCACACGTGCATGGCCTTCATACTTAGGCAACAAGAAAAAACGATAGAAAACACTACAAAGGCCCCCTACCCAACTACTCTAATACTAGCTGTCCTGACGCTTCTATCAAAGGCCATAGTTTGTAGTTCGTTATATATATATATGTACACACACACACACACACAAGGTTAAAAAAAAGGACATCACTTAGAAGCCACTTATGAATGGATGGCCTGTTTGTTACCTGACTATAATTCACAAATTAAACCAATCCAAACAAACTTGTAATTAATTATACCTTGAGCAGTTGGTGAACATTGCCAGGTAAGTCACTAACAGTGTGTCATTATACTCCTGCAAAGGAAAATGAAAAGTGAGTGAAGTTTTAAGCACAAAAAAATACTGTAAAAGATATATACTGATATGAAGAAGATGATTTTGAATCAGCATGCAAGAAAATGATTGATATTTCCTTTAAGAATATTCCTAGCAGTTTCCGAGTTCCAAACAAAACCCCATAATGGGATAATTTATAAAAAAATTATATTATGTTTGATTATAATAAAATCAAATGAGTCTTGCTCAGATTTCTGCACGCTAAACAGCAATGAGTGATAACCCAGTATATAAAAACTGAATTTCTTCCCTGGAATACTAACCATCAAGAAATCATCTTGGAATTTCTCAGACTCGATTGCCGGTAATCTTCTCAAGAGACTAGAGACCTGCCTTAGCAATGAATTCTCGGATGGAATTTCACCTGCATTTGCATTCATAAAGCAATTAAAGCATGATATGTGCCTTTCATGGTCCTTTTCCATTATAACGACACAATTCCAGGTGCTTCTAAGCTGTGCTTGTTTCATAAAAAGTCTTACTACAGCTTAAATAACAATTATGGGTAGATTACATTAACGGATGATGTAGATAATTGAAAAAGCTCAATTTGGATTAGATTGTGTTTGGTTCAATATTTTAGAACATAACATAATACTCTGTAAGAGAAACCCATGTTAGATATGATGAAATATAATAATGTAGAATGCTACTCCAACGTTTTTGCCCTTGAGTTTGAGTGGGCGCATGTTCTTTCGTATTACAATAGAAATAAGTATAAATTATAATATAATTTGCAATTTGATAGTACATGATAACATATTATTAAATAAATACATGAAACTATATAACATGTGGGCACATAGAGAAATAGTGCAAAGACAATGCATTTACAGTAACACTCAACGTCCCAAGAGAGAAACTGGTTACCTTTTTGCATAGCAAGAAGATAGTGGTGAAGCACTCTGATTCTGCTATTCAACATTTTGATAGCACTATGTATGCCAGTAAGATGAGCAGCCACTGTATTCAGGAATTAACATCCATAGGTGAGAAGGTTCCAACTTTCAACCACAAAAATAAAAAAAATTGAAAAACAATAGGTGACACAACTGCACAGATTCTATGTAAAGAAAAATGAGTCTCAAAGAACAATGAATTTGACCAGCAATGTAATAGAGCTCACATTGTGTAGCGGCAGAACCTCCATCCGAGGGTTTAAGATGTGCAACATGATCAACAGAAATTCGTTCAGCTTCAACCGTCTTAAAAGAAACAGAGAAAAATACATTTGGTCACCTGTTATTTTCCACATCTAGACCGCATTATGAAAGATATGCAGTAAACAAAGAGCAACCAACCTCAATTGTGTAGCTGGCACGGACAAAAATAAGCTGTGGTATCCCATCAATCACATGCATCTCTTCAGTGTCAATAAGTATAATAAATGAGCTAGGAGAACCAGTGATAGAGGTAATAGAGAGTAATATTATGCTAGAATCTTATATAAAATACAAAATATGCTAACTGGATTCAAATGAGACTTTCAAGTTGTATTTCACATTTTGAGGATTTGGTTTAAAAAGTTATATGAAAATTTTAAAGTGAGGAATTCAACTCATGTATAAGCACATTGCGCATATCATCTAGAATCTAGACAGAAAACTTTAGAGTAAGAAGCACACACCGCTTTCGTAGATGGTGACTGGCAAATCCTTCTGTGCATGATTGATGGATGGGTTGAGAAGAACATATACCGGACTTTCATTGATATCCATCAGCTGTGTTCATAGAATATTTATATAAAAGGTTTTACATTTTGACAACCACGCAATTTAGAACTTTTACGATCCTACGATACAAGTTGAAAAAGAGCAACTCCATCACATGTAGAACAATTCCGTTGACATTTGTTGAATAAGGCAACTTTTTTGGCAAATTTTTTCAATGTTCAGTGGGTATGTCCTAAATGCGTCCTATTAGCAAAAATGTCTGTCTGAATTTTGAAAGATCAATAAATTATATTGATGTTCCTCCTTTTCCAACCTTGTTCTAGCACTACCCTGAACTACAAAATGATATATTGGATATCATTAATGTATGATACCTAAATAGTTCTAGCAGGTCATAAGATGAAGAACTTCATGTAAACACAACCAATGGGCAGCAAAGCCAAAATTGAACCAAGTACATCATAAATAAACAGAACTTGATTTAGCCACAAAGGAAAACTCACAGCTTTGTGAATGTGCATATCAGATTCCTGAGCATCACTCCCAGTTGAGTACCATCCCAGTATGTAAAAGTTTGGAAACACCTTCTTATCTGTTCATGATTTAACAAAAACAACACAAGTTTCAGTTCAACATGGAATTTATCACACCAATTGCAAATATATTGCATACATTAAGAGAAAAAAACAAATGATCAAACTCACATAGCTCTTGCTTCTTTTCTAGAAAGCCGCGGTCCAGAGTATGAGTATCAGGATCATAGAGAAGCTCGAAGCTGTTGAAGACCTCGACAGTGCGTCCTCGCTGAACGCCGATGACGCATCCGAAAACCCTAGGCGGAGGCGTAGCAGCGGCGGGAGAGGAGGGCTCGGCGCCGTTAGGGGCAGAGTGGAGAGGCGGAGGTAGGGACTGGGACTTGACCCGGGTGTGGTGATCCGAGATGTTGAGGATAACCAGCGGGTGGAGTTTGAAAGTCAAGCCACTGCTCGAAGAAGACGCCATTCCTTTTCCTTTCTCCCGATTGATTCTGGTCCAGATTTTAGGAGGGGATCAAGAGGAGAGAGGGGTTTTTGCTTTGCCTTCTTCCCGTGCGTCCAATTTCGAATTTTGCTTTTGGGGTTGGTTTTCAATTTTGGTCTAAAATTAAATTGTTTACTTTTTCACATAGTTAAATTTTATTTATTTCTTATCTAGTTTTATTACTTACCGAGTATTTTATAAATGATATATTGATGTCATTTTTTGTTTTGAGAAAAATGTTGATATAATTTTTGAATATGTATTCTTTTTCTAACTCTATCCAAATTCATATATTACGAAGTATATAGAATCAAAAATTAGTTCATTCGAATATCAAGAACTGAAATGAACAACGTAAATTGAAAGAATACTTAAAGTTTTGTTTTCTACGTGGCTAAAAAATAAATTTTATAGAGTATATCTTTTTATGTTTTTTTTACAAAATAAAAAATAATAATACGGGATTCTTATCATTTTTCTATCTTTGAAATAAAACATAGTAATATGAGATTCTTATCATTTTTGTCAAATACAGAGCTTGTTTACTTTTTTATGTGATCGATTGCTCGATTGGACAACCCTAGCAAATGTTACAAGGCTTGGTCATCGAAATATCACAAGAGGCTAAGGGTAGGCATGAGCCAAATCAAATTGATTTTCATGGGAATCGGCCTTGACTTGATTTTAGAATAAACGGGTCGAAACGAGCTACAATGTTGAAAAAGAATATTTAGAACCGGCCATAACCCAACTTATACACTTACACTTATTTCAAGCGGTTTAGTGTTATAGGCCCAACACATTTTCAAAAATAAAAGTTTGGGCCCGGTCCTAATTCACTCCGGACCTGCGATTCGATTTCGATCCGTGATTCTAAGACCTATTTCTCCAACCTATGTAGTGTTTTGTTCAACTTATTTTTTTTTTGCTTATTACTTATTCTTATTACAATCAGACCAGAACAAATTAGATCAGAAACCGTGTTAATCTTAATTACAATTAGATCAGGTGAATGGAATGCATTCTTAATAGGGGCAATCCATAACCGTGGCCCAATCCCCCTTACACTATTGCCGCATATTTAAATAATGATAGGATTGATAGCGCTAGATTGACCAATTGGGGCACTGGGCGCCCAACAGAGGCCCACTTAAGAGTATGCATTATGACCCAATTATTGTGGAATTGAATGCTTATGCATCAAAATAAAAAAAAATACCAATAAAAGTTTCTAATAACTTTTGCTTGTTTATATTTTCAATAATATTTGATAAGGTAAAATACTCCTGCCCATCTCGTTTTGAATAATTATAAAAAGAGATAAAACACATTTTGAAAGACAAATGAAGTATATAATAATAGTGTAATACTCGTAGAAGTCGGGCCAATTGTGCCTGTTTCCCTCTAAGCGGGTGGCCCTTCCAAGTCGGATCGGGTACTCCAAACCCATACACGCGTGTCACTCAACAATAAGCATATTTTTCACTTTTCTTTACATAATTGAATTCATTAATTATTTGTTAGAATATTGTAGTAATCTCGTCTCTTATTTTGGAGGATGTATAATATTGGATAAAATTTTTAATATAGAAATTTTATTTTTTAAATTTTAAATTAAACCATTATTAATCAAATTGAATATGGAGTAAAAAATAAATAAGTTTACTTAATGGTCTAAACTCCTAAATTATGTAGTTATTTCAGTTAATGCAATAAGCTTACTTACATAACGAGTGGAGTATTAATTAAATACGAATATTTGTTTTTTTAATTAATGGAGCACATGTGGGTGTTAGTGGGATTTGTGTGTATGGTTGAATCTATCTTTCAAACGTCAGATCAATTCAATGGGTGAGTGATTGATGCAGATATGAATGTATATTTTCATGTCTACCCAAAAAAAGAACACTTTCTTGCACGAATGAATCTATATACTCGTACAAAGAAGGGATTCTTTTGACACCAGTGTCAATGTATTTTTAGAATACTTATGGAGTTATGGTACTCTGTTTATAAATTTGATACGGATTATTTTCTAACCATAATCTATTGAGAAACCTTTACTCCAGCTCAACTCGAACTTATCCTCATCTCTTTCAATTTTAATCCCAAAAATTTATTGCGTTTGTTGTCAACTTTTTTAATCTTAAAGTCAACAAAAAAAATCTAGAGGCAGAAGTTTATTATATACGAATTAAAGAGGTGTTGAAGAGAAATTAAAAAAATATGTAAATTTAGAAAGATGAGATTGGATGGATTGAAGTGGAAGATTTGTTGAAATTATAGAGTTGGGAAAAAAATTAACGCGGCTTACTGCCTGCAGTGGGCGGCCGCCGCGATTTTTAGCCACAAAAGATGCGCAGCTTCAGCGTACGACGCGCCAGATGAGTTGCAGCGGCGGGCGAGCTGCATTTTGTCCCGTGATTCGATGCGGCATGACGCATTTGGCATGGATGTAAAGCCCTAAAATATGTTAAGTATGGACTATGATACTCTGACCCTAAAAAAAATTCCTTACAAATAGCTAGTTAGTATAATTTGTGTCTAAATTGTTTGTGACTCTAAGATACGAAAGATTTGGAATAAATTAAGATTAAAATAATGGATGGATTTGAAAGAAGTTTTTAACGTGGGAGCGTGGGACGTGACAAATGTGACATAGCTAGCAAGTGGAGTGGTATAGGGTCGGGCAATGCTAGGGGTACACCAACATGGGGTACCCCAAGTGTACACCAAGCCAACACAAACACAAAATGTCTGTGCAACACAGACACTTTGTGTCTGTGTGTGTCTGTGTTGGCTTTGGTGTACATTTGGGGTACCCCATGTTGGTGTACCCCTAGCTTAATTCTACAGGGTTTTGTGTCTCTTTCCCATATCATTGCCATGCCTCAACCATTTTATCCTATCAAGTGTCAACTGTCAACCTCCCTTAAATTTAACACACAATATTTTTGTGTTTCAAATTAAAATTTTCTCTTATTTTTTATACGGAGTACTTAATAATTTAAATTGTTTTGTAAAGAATCATTTAATAAATTTTTAAAATGAATAAGAAATTTATTTTAAGATTATTAAGAAATTCATTTTGAGAAGAAATAATGAATGTTTTGACTCTACTATTTAAACCAATTTGAATTAATTAACTGGATGTATCGCTTTTCTCTTTGCTTCGTCTCAAAATGATTATCACAATTTTTTACTTTCTTCATAAACAAAAAGTATGCAATTCAGAATTATTATTTTTTCTACAATCAAATTTTAATTACTAAATATTACGCATGGTTCAACCAATTTTAAAAGGGAAATAAAATGATATGGAAAAAGTTTTTCTCGTTTGAATCGAAAAAAGAAAAAGAAATGAGAAGTCAATTAGAACTAAGAGAAAAACCAAATTCTACCAATTTTAAAAGAAAACATTTTATTTTCTTTTTCTACTAAATTACTTGGATCAAACATGATGTAACTTTTACTTTTTTTTAAAAACAATTTTCTTAATTATTTGGGAGAGAGTAAAAAGGCAGGAAAATTAGACCTTGTAATGCACAGTAGATTGCGGGCTTGCGTGGATGGGCGTCCAAAGGAAGACCGGACCGTGTATATTCAGATCTCATGTGTATCTTTCAATTACCCATTATGAAACTTGTTCATTTTTATTTTAAATATAATTTATTTAACTATCAAAAGTTTAAAAACATAAAATTTTATGTATAAATTTTAATTTATATAAAGTTTAATTTATTTTAAGTATAAATTTTAAAAATAAAATTTATTTTAATTTAAGTATAATTTATTTTAAAAATAAAATTTATATAGTCAAAAATTTTATCAAAAGTTTTTTCAAAATAAAAGATGACAAGATTATATTATTTTATAAAATGACAACTAAAAAACGTGAAAAGGGGAGTCAGTTTGATGCTTTGAACATTGGGGTTGGAGGGAGTAATAATAATCAAATTTATTATGGAGTGCTCCCTATGTTCAATAATTATTTTCTCGTTCATTATTCAGAAAGTTAAACTATATTCGCTGTAATGGCTTATTTTTGTTGTCATTTAGTAGAAGTCATGAGATCTGTACCTTGTAGATCTTTTGGTGTAGTTTTTTGAAATGTAATTTTTAATGGCTTATCTGAGTAATATTTTTATATAAATATTTGAAAATAAATTCGGTCGAACTTCGAAACGCGCAAGAGGAATTACGGGAATAAAATTATTGGATGGAGGGATTATAAAATGTTACAAATGTGATCGTAGAGATTATAACATGTAGGGAAGATGAACGGCACCCGAAAAAAGTTAAAATAAAATAAATAAATTAGAACTTATAATTTATTCCTATTCATTTCAATAAATAAAAATAAACCAAGTTGGGAGTACAATGCGCCTTGAATCTTGAGGATGATGTACTCTAGCCGAAAGGATATTAGCGTTGCCAAAGTTGTCCTTAAGGTAATAGTATTTGCCTACATGCTATATAAAGATTGTGTACCTCTTTTTTAAAGATAAAATCGTTATCGTGTGCGGTAATTCTACGGACCAACCACAAACCAACAAGTGAAAACATCACCGGAGCATTGGGGACCCAAAACAAAGGAGAGTGTTGGGGAAATGGCAATGTCTTCTCCCTCAATAATCAATATCCTCAAAGAAAAATGAAAATCCTTCTTCCGTTTGTTCTCCCTACGTGTAAGCGAGAAAAGAGAGTATAGCTCTCACTTTGATAGGCTTAACATCAAGATAGTTGATACCTCCATCTATCATAAATGGTGATCATTAATTGCTCTAATATTAATCCCGGTGTTCGGTAATTAATGATAGTCATTAACACGTCAATCATGCTACATTCCATATAAAATTTCTTCCAAATAATTGAATAATCAATTAATTCTGTAAATATAGACTTCATTTAAACATTACATAAAATAATACTCCAGCCGTTCTACAAATCTTTCGCCCTTTTCTCATCTATTCTAAAAAATCTTTTTCATTTCCATAAAAAAATTTATTTTCACCATATTATTTTTTTACCTACCAACATTTACCTTTGTTTTTAAATAACTACTCCGTATAAGGATGCTGTTTTAAAAAAAATGGAAAATGTTTTAGCTAGGCAGTGACATGATTGGACGGGGATGGATGGCTAAATTCAGCAAATAAATTA